ACGGCTCGGCCCGGCCCGGCCCGGCGCCCGTGCAACGGCCCCGAAGGCGTCGCAGGACCGGGGCCCTGCAGGGAGCCCAGCGCCGCCGGCAGCTGCGCCCAGACAGCAGGGGAACTGCCTCCACCCCCCCAGAGACAGGACAGGGTACCGTGGATATAAAATTTATTGAGCCATTCTCTGAAACTACAAAGAACATCCAAAACTAGCACAGACAGTGCACTGGCGCTGCCGTCACGGACTGGACCCAGAAGCATCTAAAAAGCAGCAAACACGAGCTACACAAGACGAGAGTGCCCCCGACGGCCATGGGCCCGGGGCCTGGAACACGCTGTTGAATATCAACAGCACCGAGTCTCTGCAGGGCCGGGGGCTACGCGTAGAGATCCTCTCTATCTGCCGAGTAGACCTCCCCTTCCTGGAGCAGAGCGAAGTTGAGGAAGTGTGAGGGGCGATGGACCTCGTGGTAGAACTCCTTGGGGTTTGCCAGCTGCAGCTCGTACTTCATGTTGGGGTCGTGCCGGACACCTGAAAGCAGGCAGTGCTTTAGTCCCAGGCCCAAAGCTGCAGCCCTGCTGCCCCCCCTTAGCCTTCTAGTTTCCTCCAAGGCAAGAGCTGCCATCAGCCCTAGGCTTCTCTCGTCTCTCCCCCGGCCTCCTGCAGCCCCTGCCCAGCCCTTCTACTGCAAGGACTTGCTATAACCCCCGTGCCACAGGCAAGCGGGCCTCCCCTGAACTGCCCTGTCTCCATGATCCATGAGCAGGCTCAAGGGAGCAGCCAGCACAGCAAGGGACTGAGAGCAGCACCGCCGCTGCGCTGGACAGCTCCTTCCCATGCAGCTGCCTGGAGCTGCCTCCCCGAGATGGGCCTCACCCATGAAGTTGTAGTTCCAGGAGCCCTGCGCTGGCACCATGAAGAAGCCGAGGAAGCGGTCCGACAGCAGCATCTGCACCCGCTCATAGTGGGAAGGCAGGTAGCCCTTGGGGTTGTTGCCCTTGTCCGTGTTCTGCCTGCCCCACTCGTAGCCGCTGGGAGTCAGCTTGTAGGCCGTCAGTGTGCAGGAGCCGGGGGTGAAGCTGCAGACGAGGAGGAACAGCGGTGAGCAGCCAGGAGACAGTGTGCCTGGAGAAGCCGGGCCTCCACCTCCCTGCTCATGCCGCACCAGCCAGCAGAGCTTTCCCTTTAGCTCCAGGGGAGAGCCACCGGTTCAGCACATACAGACTGAAGCCCCAAGTTCTCCAGAGCAGCCCGTGCCCTCCACTGCCAGCAGCAGAGGCTCCAGCTCTGGCCTGTGCCTGGGGCAGGCAGGCTGCAGGTGCCAGACCCAGGCAGCACTTCTGGTAGCTTTGGCCACATGCCTTACCTGCAGGTAATGATGATGGTCTTCTCCCCGTCCCAAGAGGGGTTGTCAGCCATGACCTTGGCATGGGTGGTGACATCCTGCGGGGAGAGCTGAGGCGACTCGTTTGGCTGCGTGTGAATCCACCCAAGGGGCTCCATTTCCTGATGAAGGAAGGAGGCATTAGACACTATGAGTTCCCCCCAGCCACAGCCCGACTCCATCACGGAACAAAGCACGACTGCAAATGAACTCTCCCTCCCAGAGAAGATAACCAGACTCCAGGGGCGCGAGGGGGACCTGAGCCTCTATCCTCAGAGTCCAGCACCCACCGAGTAGTAGGAGAGCACCGACCCCGAGGAAGAGGCCCCCGTGCAGCCTGCAACGCAAGCATACAGGCAAGATCTCATTCTCTATGCTCAGGC